GTGACAATGAATGGTTTTAGTGACAATGAAAATACTGATCTTGGCATTAACCCTCTGTTCACATTTTAGTATTTATTTCTGCACTTTTCTGTATTTAAAATTAATTAACTGCTGTCTGTAAGTCAAATTAAAGCTTTACTGTACTCAAAACTACTATTAAAATCTATCTGTCATTAGATCATATTCTCATTTATTATGTCATTGTGGTCATTTTCAACACTGTCAGTAATTCAGACACTATCTGACTTTACAACTGGAAACTTTAAAGTAATTTAACAATGTAATAAAACACAGAGTGACTCCTTATTGAACAGAAACCTTTACACTCACTTTAAGCTCTCTGATACTAGAAAGAAAGGTTAGTGCGCCCCTGCTGATAAATAAAGGTTCAATATTAGTCACTGCATCTTCCTCTTCATGCTCCTATAATGTGTGCTGCTCTCACGTCTCCAGGTTCAGACACTATGAGGACTTTGTATTAGAAGTAAGCAGCCATGATACAACAGAAAGAAGACAAAGTAAAACAATTCATGAACACTTAACAATGTAAAGTCAGATTAAAATCAACATTGACTGGAAAAAAACCTGAAAGGTGTCCTGTGGAGTTTTATTCTACACAGACAACAGTCCAATCGTCTTCCTGCCTTTGCAGGTCCATTGCTGCGTTTGCTGCCACCTGTAGATCACAAGGTAACACAAACAGAGAGCCACTGATGAAGACATTGTTTCACAGCACTTACAGAGGTCAGAAACACCACAGGCTGTCTTTAAAGCAACTCTAAGGTTGGTATTTGTTGTGATTCTGCCCTCAGTTACCACTGTGGTAAATATGGACAGCTGAACATGTGCTGATATCTTCTCGTCTGTTTTGGTTCGGCATCATTCAGCACAATCTTTGTTCCCATGTGTATGTGTTTGTCATTGAACTGGGGACTCCTACTGGTTGTTCTGGGTGCTGTTACAGAGGAGGCTGGGATCAGTGTAACAAATACTGCAGTGTAGGAACACTGACCATCACTAATATGAGGACTGAGAAGAAAAGAAGGAGGCTCAAAAGCTTCAATTCTCACGTTGGAATGAAATCTTTAAATATTATCACAGCTGTAATGAAAGTAAATGTCTTTTCTCCTTTCATTTTCAACTCAACCATCATATTTCTGTTGTGCTTCTTTAGTTTCATCATTTTCACAAGTTTTCTGTTTCTGTAAGGAAAAAAACTGCATGAACACATGAATAGATTTCTTCTTCTGTTTGCACACAGTCTGCATGAAGAAAGACAAAAGAAACACTGAGACAGAGAGTCTAGAGTTATCTAGATTGTCTGGACAAACAGAGGAACTGGAGAACCAGAGAGCAACTGGGGAAGACAGAGAGAGTGCAGACCAACAGAGAAAACTTCAGGAGGAAGAAATAAAGGACTGTACACATCTGGAATGAGCAGGAGAAAGAGAGAGACAGAACAAACAAAGAAGATACAAAAGACAGAAAACCACGAAAACCAAAAGTGACATCAGAAGAAAGACAGAAAGGAGTCAGGAGTCGGTGTGAAAATGGAGGAGACAGAGGAGTTGGAGAGGATACTTCAGAGAATGAAGAAGATGGACACAGAGAGGACGCCTTATAATACAGCAAGAGACACAATTCATACAGCAAGGCAGCTTCAAAGAGTTCTTCATACAGTAAAACAAACTGATAGATGTTACTGGATCAAAATATGTGCACAGATCAGGAGTCAGCAAACTTTATTATAAAAGAGTTATTTTTGGTTTCATTATTGTGTGTAAATATGTAAATATATAATTCAATAAAACTTTTTCATGTGTATTTGGGAATCATTCTTTTCACTGGTTTCTGATTCTGATTATTCTGAATTCGGTGAAGAGGAACTGATCACTCATGATTCCTCTTTGTAAGACTTCCATAAGACTGCTGGTGCTGTCCTCTCACAGGAAGGTCACTTCAACCTTCAAGTTTCCATAAATAACATCATATCAAATAAATGCTGCTGCCCTGCTTATGAACCCTTCATACACATATTCAGGCACCTTTGACCTTTCTCATCATTTTGTGCCAAAGAAAATAGATTTGTAAAAACAGAAATAGTCTTTTTATTTTAATTGTATATGAAGGGGTGTCACAGACTGATATTCAACTCAAAATACTTTATTTGTCCCTCAAGGGGCAATTCAAGGCCAGCAAGTGTGCAAACAGAAGTACACATAGACAGTTTAATCAAATCTTGCGAGTTAGATTATATAGATTATATTAGATTGTATAATTTTGTGTTTGGTGTTACTTCGAACTTGTGACGTGTGGTAGCAGGAGAGAAAATTTTTCCTCTCTTCTTGTTTTGTGGCAGAGCCTTGGTTTCATTTGTTTTGTTGATTCATCACTCAGCACATTCTGGATGCTGTCTGACTGCACAGAGGACTCTTTAACATCGTCCCCTCCTCCATTCAGCTGAACCTGGTCTCACAGAACAAGTTCCACTAACTCAGACTCTCTTTCATTGACAATGCTGAATAATCTGTTTTATAAAGTTGTATCATGAATCCATTTGAACTCAGTGTGGCTCTCTTTGGGGTACCTGTCTTCACGTTGGTGATCCTGGATAAGTGGTCTCATAAAGCTGGATGTTAACTGGTTCAGTGAACTCTGAGTTTATCAATGCAGCTACAAGAGTCATGAGGAAGAAGGCAATCTTTTTAAATATGTTTCTGTGCAGGAAGAAGTTGTAATGTCTGTAAACACAGTATGAACAGGACTAAACTTTATATGAAAACTACTCTAACAATCTGATTATTAGTCATTCATTCAATGTTCAGTTACATCCACTGGTTAAATAATACTGACTGAACTCAGCAGCTCTGTGGAGAAATCAATAGAGGAACTCAAAACCAGATTGAAACTGCCTGAAATTGGATAAAGTCATTGTATATCATCATTTCCTGTCAGTGTGAGAACAGAACAACATGACAGTGGAGAGTTTGCATCCATCACGCTGTAAGTCAGAGTTTCTTTTTAAAGTAAAACTTGAATGTTAAATGTTGGATTTGTCATCATTTCATTCTTTGACTGTTATCACAATGTGCAGATTATTTTATGGACAAACTCTGTGTTGTTTATTGTGATATCATTATAATCTATATAAAGTGGACTCACACTGTTACGTAGACACGAAGTCTGTATCTTTATATTGTTATCATTTATTTTACAAACCTTTTATTGAAAGCTTTGAACTCTGAAAGACGATGAAGTGAAAGATTAAATATGTTTTTATCCTCCAACAGTGGAGGAGGAAGAACTCTAACAGTCAGTAAATGAATCACTGCCACAAAATACATAGTCCTTAATCAGTATTTTACTCATTTAATCAATAATCTACTTTCAGGATGAAGTAAAGATCTTTGGATAACAGTGTTCTATAAATGCAGCCATTCAGCCTTTAAGAGATCCAGTTCTTCTTCTGTGCAGACATTCAGTGTTGAGTTAAGCTGAAGATTTCAGTAACATGAGGTTCCAGCTGTCAAAGTCATTTGGTCAAGTCTTTTTATCACAAAATTCAAACATTGATATTTTTAAGGCATTATTTGACTCATTTCCATCAGTACATCTATGTGCAGAGGACATCGTGTGACTGACTTTGTCTGTGGTTTATTGTCCATGAGGAAGTTGGATGAGGATGCGAGAACAACAGACCACGAAGAGTGACAGTGAAACCAAAGAGAAACTAAAATCAGCTCTGGAGTTTCAACCCTGTTCAGCTTCACGAAAGACATTTTGTTTTATTTGTTTTGTCTTTCTTTATATTCAGGAGTCTACAATGCTGTATCCAAAGACAGAGTTCTGTGATGGACTGTCCTTCAGGACCTGCAGGGTTTTAATCATTCTTCTAACACAGTGTTTAACAGGTAATTTACACAAAGAAACAGTCCAGTAACACATTGAAAAAAATCTTCCAGTAACAACAATGACATTGTAATCATTCACATCAAAACTAATTAATGAATTATTGTCAATAAAAAAAAACACTATGAGATTATTCAATCATTACATCAGTCTACAGTCACACTGGTTGCTCTGTGAGGGTTTGAGCTTAATGCAAATGCTAACATGCTCACAATGATAACGATTTGTTGCACGTAGAATTTGACCTTGTCCACCATCTTAGTTCAGCATATTTTAATACTTTTTAAAAATTTGGTCAGATACAGACTCTGAGGCTCCAGCGGTCGATTTTCTTGGTTTTTGATGCAGTTTTATTAAATGTTTTCTTACTTTTAGAAAGTAAAAATGAATCCATTCAGTCTGATGACATGTATTATAACTATACTACTGTTTCTTGTTTGTTCTTTAGTTTGCGTTGCAGAGCAGTCAGAGTTGATTTGTTCACATCAACCAATCGTAGCCCTGGCTGGTGATGATGTCATTCTACCATGTTACCTTGATCTTCCAATCAGTGCCAGTTCTGAGACAGTGGTGTGGACCAGACCTGGTTTAATCCCAAAGTACATCCATGTTCACCGAGATGGACGACCTGCAAATCTATTTCAAAATCCATCTTATTTTCTCCGAGCGAGACTGTTTGTGGATGAACTGCAGAATGGAAACGTCTCCATGAAAATCTTCAGAGTGAAAATCTCTGATGCAGGAAAATACTTTTGCTTCCTTGAATCAATGTTGAAGGAAGCTTCCATCCAACTCACTGTTGGTAAGTCAGACTTTCTGAAGATGATGAATTACACATTTCTGCTGACTGCTAAGATCAGTAATGTAACTTTATATTAGAAGTAAGCAGCCATGATAAGACACAAAGAAAACAGTGCTGTAAGTTATTTGTTGGATCTGAATCCACTGTTTGAAATTCCTCCTCTCTTCTCATCAGGTGTCGTCTCCACTCCCATCATAGAGGTTGTCTCCAATAACAGTAGAAGAGTAGTTCTACAGTGTGAGTCTAAAGGCTGGTATCCAGAGCCTGAGGTGGTCTGGCTGGACGGTGAGGGAAACCTCCTCTCTGCTGGACCTACAGAGACAGTCAGAGGTCCTGATGACCTCTATACTGTCAGCAGCAGAGTGACTGTGGAGAAGAGACACAGCAAATACTTCATCTGTAGAGTCCAACAGAAGGACATCAACCAGATCAGAGAGACACACATCTATGTTCCAGGTTATAAAGAGCTCTAAATATATTAAACATATTGTCACTGTTGAGCTCTAGTTTGATTCAATAATGTCATTCTGTTCTCTCTTCTATCTTTTCTTCTGATTCATTCACAGTTCAGTCGTCTCCTGATTTGATTTGGATCATCGTCAATCTTCTTTGCATCATTGTGATGTTTATTATTATCACTCTGGTAATATGTAAGTCACTCATTTATTTTCCTTTTTTATACCAAGTTCTTGTCAGAGCTCTTTATTGACATACATACAGGCATAACAACAGTAACTAAGCAAACAGTCTGAAATGATCTTCACTGCAGGAAATTTGGGGAAAATGGAGGAAATAAAAGAAAATGTGTTGCTTTCAAAAGCTTTCTCTCATTTGGAAATGAAACGATTGAAATGATTATGGTTTTGTTCTGCTTGTGTTGTTTTCTCACTTTCAAACTTCTTTTTCCTGCTTCTGTTGGAACAAAGATGCAATCAGGAACTAGGAGAATGAAGAGAAGATTACAAAGAAGCAAAATGCAGTTGAGAAAAACCTGTGTTTCCTGGCGGGAAAAGAAGATACTCTGTCCTTGTAGAGACAAAAATATCCAGAAGGTGGCAGAAAAGAACAGCAGAGGAAATCATTGTGACACTGGAGGATATTCTCCATCTTTTCCTGCTCTACCATCACACTGACAGAGAATGATGATGTTGTTTGTCTTCCTAGTTTACAATCTATCCATTGTGACTTTGTTTTCAGTCTATGTGAGCAGGTGTTGTCTTTGAGCCAGTGAAAAGGCTGCAGACACACAGTGAAGAAGATCTTAATGATGTTGGTGTCCACTGTATATATTTATATTAGTTTAACCTGTTATTGTTTTTATTGTTTTACTCAAGCTGTATGAGTTTATTTAATTAGTTTATTAATATTTCCTGAAATGTATTATTCCTGCTTTAAACCATGTAATGCAGTTTGTAACTTTGCTTTGAGTATAAATAAAGTTTGAACTTTGAATAAAGTTTGTTCTTAAGCTTTTATTAGTTAGTTTGACAACCCACAGCACTTTAGGATTTATAATACACGTTGGTTTAAAAGTTAAAGAGAAAATAATATTGAAATAGTTTTACCCAACAGTTCCCACTCAAGGTCCACTTACTGGTATTTTCTTGAGTTTTCAGCCACATCACACAGTCTTCATGGATGTATGAAGTTTGTTCAGATAATTTCAGCAACCTCAGACTGTAACAGAACAGTTTACCTGCAGCCTTCATTGTATTTTATGGAACATTAAAGTTTGATCTTCCTCCTGGAGCAGAAGGTCTGTTTGAGCAGCAGATAGTAGCACACAGCAATGAAAGATATTAGAAATAACAGACAACACGAGCTGCAGAAATCCAAGAGGACTTCAGATGATAGTTGTTGTGTTTATGGCAGCCTCTCTCTCCTTTAGTTTGACTGACAGCTGAAGATGAACGCAGCAACAGGAACAAACAGAGAAATACTCAGTACAGGTAGAGTACAACAACTAAATCATTTGTCCTGTAAGGAGCTGTGGATGTGACAGGATGCTCCTTTAGTTTCTGATCTTGATACTAGAAAGAAAGGTTAGTGCGCCCCCTGCTGATAAATAAAGGTTCAATATTAGTGTCACTGCATCTTCCTCTTCATGCTCCTATAATGTGTGCTGCTCTCACGTCTCCAGGTTCACAAACAGTCTAAAGCAGAACATCTGTGTGGAGACGCTTCGAGAAAGCAATCACAGGTATCTCACTCTCTGTCTGTTATCAGTCATCAAGTTATCAAATTATACCCCAGGTTAATTAAAACAGTACCTCCAATTATACATATAAAAAACCTGACATTATATCGTTGTAGGAAGGGGGGAAGGCTTCAGCACTTTACGTTGCCGTAGCATAAGGGCCCCAAATCTTCATGTAGCTATCTATCAGTTTATAACATAGGAAGTTTTAGCCATTTTGTCCAGACACTCCGTCACTGGTATATCCACTCTAGTTTTCCTACATCCAGTGATAAGTACTGTTCTGCACCATGAGATCTGCTGAGCATTTAGTCCACTTCCCTTTGGTATCACACCTTATAGACAGATCAGCAGTTCCTGTACCAGTACAGACATCATCAAGTGTAATCTGTTTATATGTACTGTAGGGCTCTCTTCATTTCACCTTTATTCATTGTAAAGACTTTAAAAAGTCAATTATTGGCTTAATATGTGCAAAATTAACCCAACAATAAAAAAAAATGTAATCTTGCTGGGGATGATTTCATAAACTAGTAAAATGTGTCAATATCTGTCCTCATAAATATACTAATTTTTATTCAATAGATACTGACGTACTCGCTCAACACTTAAAATGTTATAATAAACTCAGCCACACAATTTAGGATCGGAGGGTTCGAGTACAGTAAATTATTTTGTAGTGTGGTTTTAGTCTTGATTTCACTTCCACAATTGTCCACTAGAGGTCACTATTTTACTCTCTAAAATCCTTGGTGTCTCAGCAATGCAGATTTATTTTTCAAGAATGCAATATGTGTCATTAATGTTTGATACATCTTCATCATTTATATTTGAAATAAAGCTAATAAAATATTTATGATAATAAAAACAAGACATTACCTCTAAAACACTAATATCAGCTTCTTAAGCACTTAATTGTGCAATATTAAATATATCATAACACATTTTATTTATCTGTTTTATTAGAATGTTTGATAATGAACTTCAGGGAACATCCTGTTGTCTCAGAATAGAAATGATTACAAATTTAATAGCTGAGATATCATCGCCATGGCTGTACCTTGCCTTTTCCTTGTGTCTCCCTCCCCTGTGTCTCCTGTCTGTGTTGTGTGTGTGGTTTCCCTCCTGCCTTCCAGCTCTGCTCCACACACCTTTCTGCAATCCCCTTATCAACCCTCCCAGTCTGCCTACCTGCCTCCTATCATCTCATCTCATCTCATCTACCCAACAGTTTATCAATACCGCGCTCCGTTGATTGTTTCGTAGATTGTCTGGAGCGGGAGTTACACCACACCTTTCTGCATTCCTGCCATATTTAGGATACACCTCATCTATCTGCTTGCCAGTCAGCTATCTTTAGTCAACCATTTCCTTTTTTTGGAATAAGACCGACTCAGTTTGTTTATCTGTTCTGGGGGGTTTTTCTCTCTGTCTTCTGCAGAAAACATCACTTCCTGTACAGGTTTCGATACTTGTGCAACTTTTGTAACACCTTTTGACCAGTTCAAGATCAGAGATGAAAAGTGTGTTGAATCTAGATACAATACACTGAACAACAGGGGCGATGTCACAATAAAAGCACAGTGGTAAATAATAAAACTGTGGTTTTTCCACAATGACATGTCAGAATTTCTGCTGTGAAAAAGGCCCTCAGATTTAAAGTGCTCCAGCTTATAAACACTGACATAAAGACACTTCCACTCATACCTCTGAGTTTATCCAACATCTACTACCCTGATACATGTTGAAATAATAAATACATAAGAGACATGTAAAGCTGTATTTCCTTCATTTCAAGTGGAACTTTGGCTTCATACTACAGTGACAGAACCTGACCTTCTCTAGTCTAATTTCAACTTTCAACAGGACACAAAAGCATTCCACAGTTATCTGACTTGTTAGTGAAATGTAATCAAACTAAACTTTGGTTTAATAACCTGTGACCCCCATCAAAGTTGTACTTCTTCATTGCATGCCAGGGTGAGAACAGCACAGCATGACTGAGTTTGCATTCTTCATCCTGCAGATAAGAGTTTCTTTTTAAAAGTGAAATATCGAAGGCATATTTTCACAATCTTAGACTGTTAGAACATATAACATATACAATATAATGCAGGTTATTCTATTGACCTAAACACATTTTATGTTGTTGTCTGTATAAAGTGGAATCATTTGGCATTACAAGTGTAATACTGAGCCTGTATGTTTATTCTTCTTATACAACCCTTTTATAGAAAGAAAAATGAAGTGGAACATTGTCTGTGTTTTGTAGTTCAGCCCTGGAGGAAATACATACACAAAATACATAATCCTTCATCAGTATTTTACTCATTTAATCAATAATCTACTTTCAGGATGAAGTACTATTAACAGTTAAAGGATAAATGTTACAGTTCTTTTCAATAATTAACAGTTAATTTCCTGTGAAATGATTGAGGAGTTAACATGTGAGGGCAGTTTGATGCTTTAAAGGATGCATTTAGATACACAGTCCATCTTAATACAAACATACATTGAAAGAGTTATTGATCACCTTTTCCTGAAGTGATGCTCTATCACAACTTCAGTGGAAGTGGCTGTGGTTCAGGAGGTAGAGTGGATCGTCCACTGATCACAGGGTTGGCAGTTTGATTCCGAGTTTGGTAACAAGCCCTCCTGCCAACACAGCTTTTCCTCTACAATCAAAGTTTTTTTTTAATCGCCGCTTACTAAATAATTGGGAGCATAAAAACAAGGTTTTGAGTTGATTAGGCTAGAATAAAATCAACCACTTTTTCCACATTATTTGACCTCCATGAGACCCTCCAACCTGACCTGTAAACTATCGGTCTCACAGTCACAGCTGACACCCCAGTGCTCCCACTACAATCCTCCCTCCTTTAAACCTGTTTGCTCCATCTGTCAGTAAGAATGAGAAGATCCATACAGAACAGAATGATTTATAAACAATAATATTGATTCAGTTTTAATATTTTATATAGAATATTAAGTGAATATTAACATTGTAGAAAATATAACACAATCACTTTAAGTCTCAGAATATCTGAATTCAAACTGGATCCCCCACATTTCAAATAGAAACTCCTGTTTATACTATAGTTTGACTGAATACTGAGAGATCTGCATCCACATTGCCCAATATGTCAATGTAATCAATATTTAAATACAATATCTGATCAATAATCTCACAATGCGGAGTA